GTTCAGGTTCTGTGTTTGAAGATAATTTTTTTTTTTTGATGTGTTAGTTCTTGAAAATATGAAGTGTTGTGTAAATGTTGAAATTTGGTAGAATAACAGAAGAGGTAGAATCTCCTCTGGGTTTGGAGGATATCAGTACGCTGTGAAACCTGCAGAGATCTCCTTGGGAGTCCTTTTCTGTAGACACTAGTGGAAACAGGAAGAAAAGTAATTCTAAAGCATCAAACTAAATTAAAATTGTAAAAAAAAAAAAAAAGATGGAAAACGTGTACATATATCAAGAAAAAAAAATTGAGATACAGATACTCCATGGGATGATGAAAACTGGACAAGCATAATGGTGACAGATTTACAGATAACCCAAGACATTAAATTAAGGATACATTTGTAATAAAATGTATTATTTTTGCATGTTAGTGTGTTGGGGGGGAAGGGGAAGAGAGACAAGTTACAATAGTATTGAAAACATTTCATTCTGCACAAGAAATCCCTTATTTGAAAATCTTAGGAACGTCAGAGAGAAGTAATAAATAAAGTTACCAGGATATTTTGGCTCACAAGGTGTGATTAAGCTCAAAATAAATACGTATTATCAAAACGCCACAAGCAACAGAGCATTTTTCATCCTTCAAATATTTGTAGATAATTGAAGAAGAAAAAAAATACTTAAAAGGTTCAAATGCATTTAAACTGGAAGGAACAGTATTGACTGAGGGGTAAAAACATAGAAAATAAGATTATATAAGGTTTATGGGCTGGCATTTTAAGTAGTCTAAGAGTGAGATTAAACAAAATGCCTGAGTATGTCCTTTGGGGAGCAGCCCTGCATCGTTGAGAGGACAGCAGAATAGGTTTTGTTTGTGACTAATTAGCATTCTCTTTCTCCTACCCGGGGTACTACCAGCTTGTAAATCTAGGTTGTTCTAAGAAAACTGGAAATAGTTTCTGCTACTGCATCTTTCCTGGGGTTATCCTACCAATTTTTGAAATTAAAAAAAAATAATTCATGTTTAGCTCCTATTATAAACACAAGAAAGGGGCAGACAGCGTGGGCTGTGTGGAAGCACACAGGCTTTTGGATATAATGAAATAGCTTGAAAAAGAGGCAGTATGTGGATGGAGTGAAGCTGTGGTGACAGGATAAATACTCTTGAGTAGATGAGTGATGGGGTTGCTGATAACTTGGTCTGCAGTGGGATAGCCATTGTTCAGCCTCTCCTCTCTCCCATTTGTAAAACTCACCCTGCAGATCTCGACAACAGTTTAGGTGTTGAGTCAGAAGCTCCCTGCTTTGAAGCTGAGAATGGCAAAGGAGTGAGCAGAAGCGGAGGAGGGCTGGTGGAGCTGCTCTCCTTTTGGGGACAGGGATGGGGACGGGGGGGAACTCAGTCCTGCTTTCAGAAGGTATGCTCGGTTTGTGAAAAACTTCTGCAGAGCTGCTAGGTAGCATGCGACACAGGGCTGCAATGGCTCAGGAGTGCCTGGAAGGAACTGAGCTGTGGCTGTGGCTGGCACGCTTGCTTGAATTTTTCTTTCTCAGATAAGGCTGCGGAGTTTTGTATTTCTGCAGGCAGCAAGGCTTTGCAGCGGCTGGACTTTAGTTAATGAAACCGTTCATAGTTTGTCACGGGCCGGGGCTGCAGCTTGACTCTGATAAGTGGTATTGAATGCCCTTCCCTCTCCTTCGCCCCAGCTGCGGGAGCACATGGCCACATGGCCCCTAGGAGAGGCAGGCCAGATAGACTAATGTGAGAGCAAATTTGGGATTCAGCCAGTGTCTGAATGACCTGGTGCTGGGTGGGGGTGTGCTGCATTTATCATTGTTTCCTTCGTCCGGAAGGGAAAGCTGCAGGTAGGCTGATAAAGAGACTGAAAGGTTTGTCCGGCTTCAGTGGAGGTCCATCAGCCCCTGCATGCTCTCTGCTGAAAGGCTGCTTGGTAATTCCCACTCTGCCTTTCCTATCCACAGAATAAGGTCTGCTTCACTTTTACTCCATTGACACATGCTGGTGTCAGAATAGGCTCGAGCACCTCTGGACTTTGTGGGGGAGGACCCAGGGCTGGAACAGCAGCCAAAATTTAAAATCAGGATTAGTCTGTTGACGTGCACGTAAATCAAACAGCCTTCCTATCATAAATCTTTTCTGTTGATGTTTTTTTCTGCTGCAGCGGTAGAAGTAGTAGGAGCGGTGCAGCAGCCTACGCTTCCCAGGGTTGGGCTTCAATGTCAAGGCTGTTTGCCCCAAGTGGCTGAATGCAGCTCCCTGCTCCGCCCCTCAGTGAGATCCCTGCAGGGCTGCATGCTTTCATGTTTGATTTGGGTGATTTTCAGACATGGTGGGGTAGGATTTTTATTGTCTTTTGGGGATATCTATTGCATGGTCAATTGTGTGTTTCTGAGTTGTCTGGTTGGTGTCAACTACATCTAAGGCAGTGCTAAAAGCTGCTAAAAAGTCCACTGTCCTAGCATAGGGTCTCTGTGGGCTCTACCCTAAGCTGAGGGAGGAGTGCGTAATTAATGCCCTGTATGATGGTAGTGATGCTCAGGACTGCGAGAGAGTGAGTGTGCTCCGGGCTTGCGGTCTCAGCTCAGTTCCCCACAGCTCTTTGGTGTCTTCTGCACAGCCAGCATGAAGCTAATGAGATATTCCAGCAACAGATAGCTGAGCACCCATGCTCTGTACTCAGTGCAGCCAGAGCAAAGGAGGGGGCTGCTGTGCAGATGGGTTTTTAAAAGTGTACTTCTTTTCTATTACTGTAACTCAACAGAGGAGAGTGTCCTCTGAAACACATGATGTGCTTGCTTGTGAGCAGAGCCATGAGGGTCAGGCTGGAGGAGACGGACCCACATATAATAATTTAAGGGATATTAAAGAACGCTGTTCCTCTGTGTTTCCTTCTCCATTCCAGTGCTTCAGTGCCTTTTTGCCCTTCCAAAATAATGCCTTACTGTGTGTAAAGCTTTGTGTGAGATTACAGGGGTATGCATGTTGCAAGCCCTGTAGTTTCTTCTCTATCTGCTACCCCGTAGTGATAAAGTTGCCCAAAACTGATTAAGAAAATAGTGTCATAGCTCAGAGGAGGGAGGTGTGCTTTTTTTGATAGAGAAGATAATAGAAGACTGTGCAATGTTATGGTGGTAGTGGGTGGGATAGTCACATGAACACGTGCATGTGTGTATGATTTCTCACGCTGGTGTTTTGATCCATCGTCTGTAGTATAAAGCTGTTTTATCCTTTTTTCTTTTTTCAGGGTAACCAGGAGCCAGCAGCAACTCCTGATGCAATGGTGCAGCCATTCACCACAATCCCATTTCCGCCACCCCCACAGAACGGGATTCCCACAGAGTATGGGGTGCCACACACTCAGGACTATGCAGGCCAGACTAGCGAGCACAATCTGACGCTCTACGGAAGTACGCAGCCTCATGGAGAGCAGAGCACGAACACGGCCAGCACGCAGAACGGATCTCTTGCAGTAAGTGCAGAAGGGTGCAGAGCCAGGAGAACAGCACAGTGCTTTGGGAAAAAGCAGCCATTGACTAGATTGCTGACTGTTTCTTGAGTATTCAGCTAATCAGTGGTAGACTTGAAAAGGAGAGAATTATAAACAAAACGTGGCTTCTCACCTTCCGTTACTAGGTTCCTGTCTTCTCCCTTGTGCATGTTGCCTTTGTAATCAGGTGTCTGCAAAGAGCAGTAGTACTGGGAATCATGGTGTTTTTACCATGGTGGCATTGTCTGAAGACAGTCCTTGAAAAAAGTGTTAATTACCTTGAGTTAATTGGCGAGCAGTTCAAATGAATGTGTTGGAGGAAAATTCTGGAAGGTTGACGGTAGAAAGGACTAGGATGAGCACATGCGTTGTAGGTGTAATCCCAATGTAGTTCTGTTTTCAGGAAGCTAGCAGAGTAGAAAAATACTTTTCTTTGACTTTCTGAAGCTGGCAGGGAGCTTCAGGGGGCAAAGGCAGGAGAGGACTTCTCAGCTACTGGGCATCCATTTGCCAAATGAAGATTTTCACCTTATATTTTTTTTTGCTTTCTTCTTCCCATGGCCTGGAACTGGCACTGGGCACATGTTGGCAGGTTATACCAGGGAAAGCTTTATCCACCCCTTAAGCCACTTGTTAAGTCTTAACTTCCTAATAAAGAGCCTTATGGTGAAAGCCCTCAGTGCTCAGGGGCGGATTTAATCTGTTAATGCTTTCAGTTTTACTTGTAGTTGGGTGTTTGGCTTGTAGAGATGATTTTTCTCCCTGTAAGTACTGAGAGAATTCAGTGACAATGACTGGACGAACTGATAATGCCAGCTTGAGCGTGCGTGGTTCCCAGCGTGCATCTCTGCTTCTTCTGCAGTGGGCAGTGGCTGCATGGTTGACACTGCTAGTTATGTCTTTGATAAGGTATCTTTGAGTTCATCCTGGGAATGCTGCAACTTCAGCATCTTGAAGAAGAAAAAGAGTACCAACCCTGTAAACCACATTGATAGTGCGTAAAAGGAACTTCGGGTGCCTTTCTTAGCAAACACATTTGTAGATGAGAAGAAATCAGGCTGGAAATAAAACTTAAGAGCTGGTACAGTGTGCAGAAATGCAAGTCATCATTTTGGTACCAGATTGTTCAATGTCATAGAATCATAGAATCATTTAGGTTGGAAAAGACTTTTAAGATCATCGAGTCCAACGGTTAGCCTAGCCCTGCCAAGTCTACCACTAAACTGTGTCCGTAAGCACTACGTCTACACATCTTCTAAATCCCTCCAGGGATGGTGCCTCTAACCACTTCCCTGGGCAGCATGTTCCAGTGCTTGATAGCCCTTTTGGTGAAGAACTATCCAATCTAAACTTCCCCTGCGGCATCTTGAAGAAACTTCCCCTTGTCCTATCACTTGTTACTTGGGAGAAGAGACCGACACCCACCTCACTACAACTTCCTGTCAGGTGTTTGTAGAGAGTGATAAGGTCTCACTTCAGCCTCCTTTTCTCCAGGCTTAAACAACCCCAGTTCACTCCGCTGCTCCTCATAAGACTTGTGCTTTAGACCTTTCACCAGCTTCCAACCTATAACATCTGGGCTGCCTGACTCCAGCAAACAGCTATCTTGAGCACTGCCAGTTGGGTGGGAAAGCTGGGAACTGGGAATAAAACAGGGCAGTGGCTTTCCCCATGTATTTTTGCTGTTCCCATCCTTGCCCAGAGCTTAAGAGTGTTTCTTTTTAATGGAAATGATGTGAGCCTTGACCTTGGATGTAAACTCTTGCCAGCCCTCTCACTCCTCTTCCATATTTGGAGCCATCTCTACAGCACTGCAGGGCTGAGCTCTGTGTTTCATCAACTAGTGCCAGGTCCAAGGAGCCTACAACATATGAGGCGGCTGGCTAGCCTGCGAGGAGGGACTGGGAGCCCATCTGTGCGGGAGGGATTGTTGCTGGGAGACTGCTCGGAGGCAGTGGTGTTGCCAGGAGGCTGCAGAGGGAGCCTGACTGGCAGGGGTTATCTGAGAAGCAGGCTGAATAACACATAATGCTTGTAGTGGCTGTTGGAAACAGGTGGGCATGTCTGGTCTGATCATTTGACATGGTTAAAGATGTGCAAGTTGAGTGTGCAGAAGTTGGGCTTGCAGACTGTAGCTTAGCTGGGAAAGGGTAAGGGTGCAGGCGAGCATGTTGCTGCTGCTATGGCTGGGACTGATCAAACCCAGAGGATCCCAGATGGTGGCACATGAAAAAAGGCAGGGGGAAGGCATGTCAGCCAAGGGTCTTTCTCATGCCAGACTTTCACATGCACGGGGTCCTGGATCTTCTGAGTCCTTTTGTCTTTCCATCTAGGACTCCTTCTGTGTGAAGTTATTTTGATACTGTGGGCTGCCTCGGGATGTAGTTGCTTGCAACTTCTCTCCTTCTCAGTACACTGATTAATGATGTAGGAACTAGGGAAAGGAAGAAGGCTCAGTAGTTACTCAAGCTAAAGCATGCCATTAAAATAACAGCAGAATGGGTTGGTTTCTTCACCTTGAATATCTACAGCTAACATCAAGCATCTTGTCCATCACATATGCTGGTTATTACTTGTTTGACATACATGTTCAATCCATGTGGACTAGACTGCTATGCTTAAGGCAACTTTTTCTTTCACCATTTTGTTGTCTTGCTCAAGCAACAGTGCTAACTTTAATAGAGCAGAAAGTCCTTGTAGGTGGTATATGATCCTTCCCTACCATTATTGCAACTGACAAGCACAGCTGCTGTTGTGTGTGAAGGTGATACCACAGACCAAACAGTTGGTGTATTTTTTAGCAGCTGACTTGAAGCCTGTGCTCCTGTGGGGTGATTCAGAAATTCCTTCAGTCAGACAGATAAAGTTTCTCCTTGCTTTTAAGAACAGGGCCTGTGATTAGTCCAGTTGGCCGGACAGAGCAAGATAGCGAAAGCTGTGCTCAGATGGTGGTGCTTGCCTGCTTTTCAGGCTTGTAGCCTTTAGGATAATTGCAAAAGTAACAGAGAATATGAGGTGGCTTGAAGGTCCCTCATAGAAAGGGGAGTTTTATCTGGTTGGTAAGATGTTCTGCAGCAATATAATGGGGTCTCCTCTAACACACTGTGCGGGAGCACCTTTCCACAGAAACAGGCAGATTCTGGTGGGCAAGTCAGATTGAATGATTTGTGATTAGTGTGATGCCTGAGTTAATAGACAGTGATCTGGAAGCCTGAGGTCAAACATCAGCAGTAAACTTAAATAAAATAAACTTTGCGAGTCAAAGTTCTTGCCTTCCTACAAAGTTTGAAAGCCCCGAGCAAAGGAGAATGACTGGTTGGTGTCATCAGCTAAGGATGAGCTTGGTTCTGGAGGTCTGAGTGTGGTGGAAAGCATTCAAAGCTCTCAGAGCAGGGGCATGGAAAATATATTGGCACAATAGGTGGTGTAATACAAACAGCTTAATATTTTGGAATCTTTTTTTATTTTAGGATCAAGCCTCATCTGTGGGGCTTTGTTTCTTGCCTGGCACGTGGGTCGCCTGATCTTCATCTCCAAGCATCTGTCCTTTCTCTTGATACTGTCCCAAAGCACAGCTGAAAGACCTGGATTAAAAATAGACTGAGGTGCCGGACCATATTTGGCCTACTCGGTCTGCCTGTTGCAGCCTGTCTCTGGAACCGTTGACACTCTGCATTTCATTACTTCTGGTGCTGGGTCGCCTGGTTTCTTCCCCCTTCTTGGTTTACATTAGTGCGCTTATCCCTAATGGAGACACTCAGCACAGATAGCTGCAAGTGGAGATGCTAATTAGGCTGCAGTACCTCTGGCAGCTGAGCTGATCTAAAGATTCACTGCTGTCAGAAAGGAGAGATATGGCTCTAAGCACAAACTCCCACTCCTATTTACTGGCTCTGACATTCCTTACATGAGCCACTTTAATTCACTGACCTGGCAGAAAGCTGTCCAATTCTTTTGCTGGGTTAATGAATTAGAGCAGCTCTTAGAGGGATGTAGCAAGTGCTGTTGTTGCAAGGTAAGCATGTGGAGTGCATGGCCAGAAGCCAAGAGCAATTGTCAGCTCACTGCATCTCCTGGTACTCTACCTGCGGAGGGAAGATTAATCATTTGCTGAACTGAAAAAGCTTGCTCGATAGTAAATGCAATGCACTTAATACTGTGAGCTGATTATTCAACTCATTTCTCTTGTTAATGTCAGAGGGAAGAATTTGTGTGTCTGTATAAATTATGGAATGCAGCTGGAGGTATAAAAGTAGAGGAAGAAGTTTATGTAAATTACTTTGCATGAAAATGGCAGGTGCTGTCGCCTTGGTGTTACTTTGTCATGAACCAATATAAAGTGTTATTTAATTACAGAGAGAGCATCATGTTGCTCAGCTTCTTGATGTGCCATACTGAAATGTATTTAACTCATCTGCTATACCATAAAGGGATATTGCCATTCTGATTTCTTAAAGGAGACACATCTGCAGTGGAGTTACCCCTATGTATCGTGTTCAGAAGCAAAACAGGGAAGCTGCTTGGTCATCTGGCTGTGCCCCACACATCCAGCAGGGCTTTGGAAAGAAGGGAGCCAACAGCACCAAGGGCTCCTCAGCTGACTTCTGTAACACATGGATCATGTTATAATGATGACTTTCCCTTGGGTATTTCTTACTTCGGCTGAGATTGCAGAATTTTCCTCTAATTATTTTTCATCACTTTAGTAATTAAAGCAATTGCTCATGTGAGGTATTTCAGGTGAAGAATATATTTAATGAATATCCTCACTCATCTTTTGATACTGCTGAGCAGGTAGATGCAAGGAAGAACTAGTTTCAAATAAGTAGCTAGCTGCTGACTGTTTGGCCACCTCAACTTGGAAATTGCTGTCTTGAGGTAGCAAACTCTGACATTTAACATCAGGAATTTGCTTTGAGTATGAAGCAGATTATTTTATGATTTTGAGTATGAGGCAGATTATTGTCAGTACTTGTAGACTT